CCTGCACAGTCTATGCTAACTGCCAACTGGTATTTCAAGTAATGTTAGCTGACTTAATTTAAAACCTCTCCTCCCCTCTCCCACCTACACAAGTGAAGACAAGGTCCAGGGCTCTTCAGCTTTCAAGACTCCAATAATTTATTTCACTTGCCTAGGCTTTGCAAATTATGTATGTATTACATTCTGTGGTGTAATTCTGGCATAAGCAGTCTATGCTAACTGCCAACTGGTATTTCAAGTAATGTTAGCTGACTTAATTTAAAACCTCTCCTCCCCTCTCCCACCTACACAAGTGAAGACAAGGTCCAGGGCTCTTCAGCTTTCAAGACTCCAATAATTTATTTCACTTGCCTAGGCTTTGCAAATTATGTATGTATTACATTCTGTGGTGTAATTCTGGCATAAGTTTATGATATGTATCAGCTAACATGTGGTATTTCACAAACTTGGGCCTCTCCTTTATTTCATTCAACCTACATGGAACTTTCAAAAGATGCCCATGCAAATAAAGTTGGAAGCTGAACATGAAGTTCCTTTCTATAGTTTTAATTACAAGTTTCCGTATTTTTTTATGTTGATAACTTAGTTATAAAAACTAGAGAATAGAATATATGTGAAGCATGTGTTCTTAACAGTTCTGTGATGTTGCTGTGCACTGTTCAAGGGGCACCATCAAATTTGAAATTTTGACACAATTTTTTAAATGTAGTTTTGGATGCAAGCCTAACCCCAAAATTCTAGTGGCACATTTCCCTACTTTTCAAATGTGTCTATTTCCACTGTTGTTCTGAAAGATTTACTATATAAATTTGCTCTCCACAGTAAAAACAAACTGAAAATATTTTAACAGTATTTTCTGTAATCTTTTCAGTTACAGTGAGTTTTGTTACAAATAATAAATAAGGTGTTTCCCTCAGACAGAGGTTGTCTGTCAATGGTGGGCAACCTCTGGCTTGAGGGCCACATGCAGCCCATTGGAGTTCTATGTGTGGTCTACGAGACATTTGTTTACCATTGCTTATACACAGGGTTGCCAGATTCTGCTGGTTTTTGTCTGCATAGTTTTTTTCCTAATGGTATTACAGAAATGACACATGCTTAAAGCAAGGACACAAGGAGTGAGGTGTGTTCTGATTGCACACAACATCGTAAGAGCCGTGTATTTCCTATGCATCCATTGATTCTATGTCTTTTTCTAAGCCATTATCAAAAGCCTGAGGCTTTATCCAATTTTAACAATTGAAGGGTCAAGAATCTTTGATGAAAAGGGGAGGATAGTGATCCAGCTTCTCAAACTTCTCAAATGAAGTTGAGAATCTCTGGGCCAGATGGACCAATGGTCTGACCCAGTATGGCCATTCTTCTGTTCATATGAGATGTACTGCTGTGTGTTGTCAGTACATTGTTACCAGTGAACTCTGTAGTGTCTCATTACCCCTCTGAGCTGTCTAATGTAGATACTAAAGAAAACAATAGAGAGCCACTCAACAAGTGAAGGTTTTCAGGAAACATATTTGCACATTAACCTTTTCTGGGTTCTTTGGGAGGTATACATGTATTTGTAATGCTATGCTGTCTACTCCAGACATGTCCACTCATAAAAGTGGAACAGTAGTACATTTTGATAGACTTATTTTGTAACCTGTATAGCAGTTCAGGAATGTTAAATAGGACAAATATGATTGCTATATAAGTAGGTTCTTATACTGCATTGATACCATGATATCTAATCATCCTTCCTGGGGTACATAAATGACATGATTAAAAACTGTCACATTAGGTTATTTTTCATGCATTGTCACAAGGAAAGTCTCATAGTTCTGATGCACATCACAGTTTGAATCCTAATTATAAAGCACGCAAGGTGCTGTCAGATACCATATGTTGAAGTTTTATTGTCATTGCTTTTTAAATAGCTTTTCTTAGGAATGGAGGTTAGATATAGGAATATGATTGGAAAGATCATCTTCATGGGGTAGGTAGGGCTTTTTGAAGATTAGATGGACTATTGATTTTTCATGAGCATAAGTGTCATTTCTCAGGAGATGATGATGTCAATTAGTAGCAGACATTATTCTTTGGTGATTTTCGTCAACAAGGTCAGGGATCCGTTTGACAGTATTCCTAAAAACTTTAAGCATTTTGTGTGTGTTGGAGCCAAACATTTTTTGTGTGGTGGAGTTAATGTAGTCAGCTGGAATAGTCAATATTATCTGGTTCAGATTCTAGCTCTCTTTTTTTGTTGTTGTTGTTGTTGTTTGCTGTTCTTAACTCTTTGTGTCAGGGTAAACAAAACAGACAACTATTTTGCATATAATAATGAGGGTAACAGTTTTGTGTGTGTGTGGTTTTTTTTTAAAGAATTAAGTTGATATTCCTGAAATTTAGATGGTCTTGTGGACCTGAAGTTCTAGAAAGGAAAGAAAGTTTTGGTATTATTTTTGACAGAAAGAGTTAGTAATACCTGAAGTGCCAGTTGTTTCTGAAAGTCAGCAGTTTTTGAATTTTTATCTTGACCTTCCTAGAATGATTAAAATATTTCATTCCTACCCTGTGATGTCCCTTGGATTCTAAATCACACTCTCAATTATTCCTCTTTTGATATGTGCCATTTAATTTAGATCTAAAATTGCTTCTGCCTACAATCATCATATGATTATAGTGTTAAATTGTACCAATTTATTGTTATCAGATCTATTGAATCACAAGTAAGATTGGAGAAAACTTTACACCTGCTAAATTATTGTCTAGAATGCATTCTAGATATTCACATGGCACCATAAGCATAACATCTGAAAGAAGAAACCAATCCCATGCCATTTCAAAGTACCTCAATAATAAGATACTGTTAGTCACACATTTTAAGGCTAGTGGCTTACATTTAAGTCTTAGCCTTCCAAGCACTGTATCCTCACTATCAAGTTTAAAAGCAAAAAATATAGGGCCACTGTTTAGCCATATAGTCCTCTTTTTGTCTCCTTTGTCCCTTCCAGTACCATCCTAAAGTAAAAAATATGATTTAGCAATAGTTTCATTAGCACTCTGTTGTGCTCTTCAGGTAATATCTTATTCTGATCTATTCAGAAAAGTAAAGATTGGAGTCATGTTAGCTTAAAGTCTTTTAGAAACACAAGAAATACTGTTTGCGAAGTGGAAAACAGAAAAATTAATAAGGCAGACTTTTATTCAGCTTCTAAAAAGATATTTAATGTTGTACTCATTATTTGATCAGGTATTCATTGTATCCATCTCATGAAATGCTGTGAATTATTTTGCTGATTCAAAAAGTGTGGAATTGTACTGTTTTTTAATTCTCTTGTCAAAGTTCAGCTGAATCTTGGTAAGCTTCTTCATAAGTCAATGTATCATAAATGGAAAGGAGCTTTAAAAGTATAATAGCTTATCTGTTTAAAAAAAAGTTTTAGCTAAACAGTTCTACCCCATAGTGACAAAAATGTTTAAAAAGGATAGAAATGGATGGTTCACCTACGAAGACGCCCTCTAGAGTAGTAAGAAGCCAGTTTACATAATTCTGTTTTAGAGCTTTTGTTAAAAGTAAGACTTTCAGACAGGGTGTCTAAAAATGTATAATGAGAAAAGAAAACATAACTGAAAAATTGGATATGAAGAAATATTTAAATCTCTAATCTCTTTTCATTTGTGAAAGGTTATCTCTTCAATTTTGCAACTGCTGCTACAAAAAAGATATCTGAATCGGTTGCCGAAACTGCACAAACTATAAAGAAGTCTGTAGAAGAAGGCAAAATTGATACTATCATTGATAAGGTATTTCTATATTCTGTGAAACTGATCTGTTATGTATTCCTATTATCTGTTTTATTTCAAATTTTATTCATCAGCATTTGTATAGAGAGTCTGGCCTGTACAATGATCTGCCGTAAACAACCCTCCCCAAAACTGTTTTTATAATTGCATATTTTTAGGTTGAATGAATACATAAATCAGATATTGTTTCAATATTTGACGGATGTGTTTCTGCAGAATGGGCATTTCAAGGAAAATTATTTTATATACATATTACAAAAAAAACTGTTACAGACATTATTGGAAAGTGCTTACTTAATAAGCAGCGACTCAATCTCTTGTTTTCTCCTCAGAATTCAGTGTGTGGCACTAAGCCTTATTTACTGCACAAAAGCCACTTTTATTCTGGCATTTCTGAACTCCTAAGTTCTGAACCTTAATATTCTTTTAAAAATAAGCTGTTAGATGCACAATTTTTTAATGTATTATTATTTTTGAAAAAGCAAACTGAAAAATAAATTCCACCCTGTGGCATCATATTGCCATCTATATTGGTCACCAGCAGAGTTGGAACCTCTAGATCAGGGGTGGGCAATAATTTTTCAAAAGGGGCCACTTTGCGAGTTCTGAAGTGGTTGCATGCTGCCCTGGAATGGGTGGGGTATTGGGCAGAAGGAGGATAAAGACTTCATGCACTCCCCCACCCCCAAGCCAATCAGGGTCTGTGGGAGGGGAGCACTTGAAGTCTCTTGGCCCTGCCCCTTCCTTCAGTTAAGATTAGGAAAGAAAGGAAGCTAGTTTGCTTGCCCCTTAATTTAGGAGGCCCTTCCCAGCCCCTGGGAAAGCCCTGGGGGTGGAGGAGCAAACATAATCTCTGGCACTCCCTCCTAACCCCGCCAGGAACGTGCAGTTCCCTCTGGTGCCATGCACCCCTGCCCAGAGGAGGAAACTTCACACGCTTCTCCGCCCCCATGCCAATCAGGCCTGAGGGCAGGAGAGCGTACAAAGTCTCTTATGTCCCACCACGCTCTGGCAGGGGCACACGGTTCCCTCCTGGCAGGCTGGGGTAGATAGTGAGAGACTTTGCATGCTCCCTTGCTCCCAGACCCTGATTGTTACTTTGTTACTGAACCTTTTCTTTGTGAGCTGGCGGGGGGAGGAGACTTCGCACACTCCCTCGTTCCCAAGTCCTAATTGACCTGAGGGTGAGGGTGCGACAGAGCAGTCACAGGTGAGATCAACTCACTTGGCGGACTGGATACGGTCCACGGAGGCCTCTTTACCCATCCCTGCTCAAGATTCACCACGTGAACCTTTTCTGTGTGAGCTAACAAAGTAACTGATAGCAATAGTAAGTGGTGTCCTCTGTGCATTACAGTGTGATGGAATAAGAGACTTTTCTAGTGGGTTTTACAGATATGTGCTGACTTCAGAGGGAATGGTGAGAATAAATCTTGGGATGCGTTCTAAGTGCAGGAGGCATAGAATCTTTTTCCCATTCCGCCAGCCCTGACCTCTGTCCTATCGCTTCCAGCCCATGTTCCAGTCCTGACCTTTTTCTAGCCATTGACATTTCATTTAGAGATGTCATCATGTATACGACTACATGATTAACCAATAAGCCTAGACTTGTCAGTTAATCTTGTCAACTACACGCATTCCCCCAGGTTTAAAAGCTGGCTCCCCACAAGCACTGGATCCACCTTCTCTTGCTACCCCCACGGTGCTGTTTCTGATAGAGAGGCAGCAGTGTGGAGGATGAGGGAGATAGACTGGAACCAATACACACTGGGAGCTGACTTTCAACCCAGCTCTTCACATGTGCCAGCTCCAAGGACATTTGTTGCCTCCTACAGAGACAGCGGGAGTGGGGGAAGGAGGAGTCAGTGTTGGGGGGAGCCAGCTTAAAAGCCAGTTCCCCCCAGCACCTGCTGTGTGATGCCACCTTGCTGCTGCCTCTATCAGAGGTGGCAGCATGGGGGGTGAGCCGAGCAGACTTCTGCAAAGCATCCTCTGTCTAGGGAGGGTCCCAAAGCTCCCCTCAGACTGAATCCAGTCCACATCCCACAGAGCAGCCTCTATCCATGGCAAGCCTGGGCTTGCCATGGACAAAGGCTGCTCCATGGCAGCAGCCCTTGTCTGTCGGGGGATCCCAGCTCCCTGCGGACAGAAGCTGCTCCACAGCAGCAGCCTCTGTCTGCGGGGAGCTTGGAACACTACACAGACAGGGGCTGCTGCTACCCTCTGCTGCTGCCTCTTTATCAGAAGCAGCAGCCCAGAGTGGCAGGGAGCTGGACTTTAAACAGAGGCAGCAGCATGGAGTGGCAGGGGGCTCCTCAGAAGTGGGGCCAGGAGCACACTAGCCGCCGGCCCTGCCACCGGGGACTATTGGATAGTTGTGTAACCGCTAAGATTTTATGTGGTTACACAGCCATTCAATTACACAACATCTAACATCCCTACTTTTCATCCCTGTCCCATAGAACCAATCCCAGTCTCTAGTTCTCAGGCTTCTCATCCCAATCTTCTTGTCCCACAAGTCCTAGTCTTACCCCCATACTCTTCTGGATCCTTGTCTTCAGATTCTTAGCCCAAACAGTCCTACCAGCACATCATCCAATATTTCTCCCCTTCCCCACTCTCTTGTTGTCTCCCAATTCCAATCTCCTTCCCTGGGTTTCTCATCCAGTCTAAGTGTCAGTTTCTTGTACCTATCTTTACCCAGCCAGTTCCAGTTCTCCACTTGCATCCCAGCTTTGCATTAGAGCAGTTTTCTCCCATCTTTTCTTCCCTCAGCCCTACTCTCTCTTACCCCCTCCCCCCACCACATCCTTAACTCCCAGTCTCAGTTTCTATCTCTTCTCTCCCTCTCTCCTCCTCCCCTCTCCCTCTTTCCCCAGATTCCTTGTCCCAATCTGTCCTCTTTGCCTTCCCTGCATCCTTGGCTCTTGTACCCTCTGCATTTGAATCGGGCTGCTTCCTCTTCACTGCCTGGGTCATGTGTGTGTGAGCAACTTTGAGAGCACAGGGCAAACAGACTTCCTGGTTTTGGTTCAGGTATTTGAACTTGGCATTGTCCAGTTTAGTGCAGATAGAATCTTTGGATAATTAAAATCTAAATCTCTTCTGAGCATATTCAAACTAAGATTTTTTTTCCAAAGTTTTATAACTTGGCCATATCTAAACAAATGTTCATGTGGATGGCAAAAGACACATCCTTGACACAAAGTTCACCTCCTCCCCCACCCACGTTTGAAGTTCCTGCTCCAAAGCATTCAGACCTTAGAACAGTGGGCCATACACAGTTCATCAGGGTAAGCTGCTGATGGGCCACCAGACAAGTTGTTTATCTTGCATCCTCAGGAACTGCTGCCAACAATTCCCATTGTCCACAGTCACTGTCCAGTCATTGGGAGCTGCAGGAAGTGGTAGTCAGCAAGTCCTGGCAGCCCACACCATTTCCTGCAGCTTCTGTTGGCTGGGAATAGTGAACCATGGAAAATGGTTCTGATGGCCTGCCAGCACTTTACCCTGACAAACTCTGTGTGGGCCGCAAGCTACATGTTTCCGATCATTGCCCTAGAACTTTTCAAAGAAAAGGTTGTCAGAGTTTTTAACAAGGGCACAACAATGTATTTTTCCTTAGCCTCATTATTGAAAATGGCTGGAACGTATTGGTTGACATTTTAAAAAAATAATTGAATTTGGGATAGACACTAGTATGGAAATTATATCCTAGATTAAATTTTGGCAACATTATAAGCAACTTAAAACATTGTTGGGCAGTCTTAACAACGGGCTATGGTACCAGCCTGCCTATAATATTCATCTGGTAAACTTTTCAAGCTATGGGAGGAAAGGATAAGTAAGATTGAGTTTTGTGAATGGTTGCATATAGGGAGATATGAGATGAAGTCTTTGTAGTAACAGTAATACTGGGACAGGTATGTAAAAGGGTGCATAAAACAATGCAAGGAAACAATGAAAATATATACCATTGTCTGTTATCTGGTTTGGTCTGTGATCATAAACCTCAGGTGGCATGAATATCTGTGTCTGTTTTCTGATATTTGTATGCAGTAGGAATTTCTTTTAAATTATCCTCTGGTCTTTCGGTGCAAGGGTTATTCTGTAATTTAAAATTAGTTTTTCTTTATATTACCTTTTATGATTTTGCTATGCATATAGCATGTTTTTTATATTTATATCTTGTCTTTAGGTCATGATAACTACAGGCTTCAAATGTCTCTTACTTATTGCAATGCTTCTGTCATTCCATTTGGGTAACAAATTGTTCTAGCACAAGGATTTTCAAACTTCACTGAACTCCGACCTCTGACAACAAAAATTACAACATGAGCCCAAGATGGGTGACCAAAATCCGAGCCCACCTAAGCCCCTCCACTCCAGGTGGAGGGGGACCAAAGCCTAAGGCTAAGATTTTGCGCAAATACTTTTAACACAAGAGTTTTTGCATTAAAGTATCTGCACAAGAGAGCATCTACACTGGAATGTGCTTTTGCACAAGAGATGTGCTTTTGCGCAAAAGAATCCGTGCCCGTGTAGAAGCTACTTGCGCAAGAAAGCTCTGATGGCCATTTTAGCCATCGGACTTTCTTGTGCAAGAAATTCATGTTGCCTGTCCACACTGGCATCTTGCGCAAAAACGATTGCGCAAGAGGGCTTATTCCTGAGCAGGAGCATCATAGTTCTTGCACAAGAAGCACTGATTTCCAACATTAGAATGTCAGTGTTCTAGCGCAAGAACTCTCCGCCAGTGTAGACAGGCAGCATGCTTTTGCGTAAAATCATGCCAATGTAGACACAGCCTAAGGGTTTCAACCCCCCGGCAGGGGCCCTGTAGCCTGAGCCCAACCACCCAGGGCTTCTGCTGTGGCCCCGGGCAGATGGGTAGGGTTGCTAATCATCCAGGATTGGCTTGGAATCTCTAGGAATTAAAGATTAATCTTTAATTAAAGATTTTTCATGTGATGAAATGTCCAGGAATGCATCCAGTCAACATTGGAAACTCTGGCAGTGGGGCTTGAACTTCAACCAAGGGCTCCAGCAAGCCTGAGTCAGCCCTGGCAACCCCATTGAAATGATGTTGAGAGCCATTTTGGGGTCCCAACCCACAGTTTGAGACCCACTGTTCTAGCATAAGTGAGAATACTACCATTTTCTGGGTAAACTTGTTTGTGTTCTTATACAATATTCATAATTATTTTTGGAAATAATGTTTTTATTTTAATTGTAGTCTGCTGGTATCTTCTTTGTGAGCTTGTCTGTCCTTACAAAAGTATGTTGTCGCTATGATTCAGGATATACCGATTCACTTATTTTGTGAATATACTATAGTTTGAATCTTTCATGTGGAAGGAATTTTCAGTAACTATCTGTAGAATCCATGCAAAGGCAACAGTTAAGCTTGGTCTTGAGTATGTCATGAGAACTCTCTGGGACATGATTTACTGTGCATGAGCTTAGTCATAAAACTTTGTCAAATAAAAAATAAAAACGTGTATTGTATTTGGAAGTACCATCTGGAAGGCATTAGATGTAAGAATGGCATAGACATGTATGGGATGGGGGAGTGAGATGTTAGAAAAGGGAAAGATGCATTCAAATTGGAAAATGGAGAGACTAGCCAAAGAAAGAAAGTTCTGCTCTGGATGATTCAAAGCAGTGCATATTTTGGTCTGTGTAATGTTTTGGGTTGGCAGAAAATGTTGTTTTGTTGCCTGGTGTCTCACTTCTCTGTTGGATTCACTAACAGAGCAGCATCCAACTCTAGCCCAGAAGTGATATAGTGCAGGGACTAGATAAGGGAGAGTAAGAGATACAGAAAACTTGTGTAACCCTCTAAATAAAAGCATAGATTCTAGCAGATGTAAAGGCATGGTGGGGGAAGAGGAGGAAAAAAACATTTAAAATACAAATGAAGAGAGGAGAGCCTGAAAAACACAACAGTGAATTACTTCATTGGTGGGGGAGAGACAGAGACAAGAAGCAGTGTAATTAATGGTGGGCTTTTTGGTAACAATAACATTGAAGAAACAATATTACCACTTTAAAATCTTAGATTTCTTTCTTGCCCCACTTGAAAATTTTATGATTAAAGAGTGAAATTCCCTGTTCTCTTTTCTGCTAATAAAAGTGAAATTATACTTCTGTGTTTGAGAACCTTTTCTACTCCATATACCTCTTTGCATTCAGATTTAAAGGAAAAATAAGTAAAGGTATTTGGTTCTTTAATTTAAACAATCAGTGAGATTCGCTCTAGGGTCAAGATTGGAGTGTTTTGAGACATGGAGGCCTTTTGGGGAAATTACCTGAGTTGCTGGCCAGGGGATCTGACTCTAACCTTGAACTTGATTAACTGGGAATAGGGAACACAAGTGTCCAACCTGCCTTTTAAATGTTGCTGAGAAGGAAGAATCAGAATTTTGTAGATTGTATAGATCATTGTATAACAAACCATGACTTCTTTTTAATTCAAGCTAGGAATATGGAAGTGTAACAGTTTACACGGTTAATTGATGAGCCTGTGCTTATCATTAACGTGCACAGTTACACACAGCTCTTCCTTCCCTGTTCTTCTGCCTTTGTATCAGAGGTAGCAGTGGGGGGACTAGTGAGAGCCAGTCCTCCCCCACTCTTCACACATGTGTCACCGTGTAACTGCTGAAATTTTCAGCTGTTACATGACTACATAATTAATTGCATTTTAACGTCCCTAATTCAAAGCTCCTTGTGTCTCATCTTATATGGAGTTAGAGATGGTTATGCTTTTTTCTTCCAGAATCTACTGATAAAGTGAAACTTGCCATAATAACTTATATGGCAAATTCTGTCTGTAGATACCATTGACCTACACATGAGAGTAGGAATATGGAATCTGAACTAATATAGTTTTGACACATCTGCAATTGTCAGTGCTGTAAAAATAGAAAACAAAATCAGAGAGATTATCTGATGTCTATTAATATCCCAAAAGTAGTAATATTCATAGAAAATTATCCACAGATGACTTTAGTGGCTAGTTTCTTAAGCCTACTATGCCATTCTCTTGTGAGGATACATTAAATTAAACAATTACATTAATTCCCAATTATGGCTGAAATTTTACACAGAAAAACCAGGAAATGCAGTTATAGTTTCAACAGCATCCAGAAACTTTGCCAACTTAGCACATGGAAGTACTATGTATTTACTGTGTAAATGTTAATAGAGTCCTGAAGCAATAGATTTTAAGGCCAGAAGGGTCTACTCTGATCCATCTGTATAACACAACCCATAGAATTCTTCCCATTGATATCTGCATCAATGAGCAAGAACGTATCTTTAAGAAAGGCATGATTTAAAGACTTCAGATGATGGTGGAGTCCTCATCCCTTGGTGATATGTTCCATTGGTTAATAAACTCAATGTTAACATTTGCATCTTACAACAGGTAATATTTTTCTGACTTCAGCTTCTTGCCATTGGAAGCTTTGATGCCCTGGTCTGGTAGACTTAAATAACCTGCTAGGGTTGGATATCTTCTCTGTGTGTTGGTACTTAAGACTATGATCAAATTGCCTCTTAACTTTCTCTTCAATAAACTAAATACCTGTAGATTGAAATTTTTAAGACTTTTGTAGTAAGGTGCATTTTGTAAATTCTAAAATCATGCTTCTAGCTCTTCTCTGCACTTTCTCAATGCTTTTTCAATTTTAACTTTAATTCACAGTACAATACATTCTTGATTATCCAGATTTAACAGAGGACATGTAATAATTTTTCAATAATCAAGGCATTATTCAATATTATACATGGAGGTCTGACTCTGTATTAGGTAAGCATGGTTTCACTGCCAAATATTGGCGCTATTTTTACTTTGGTGACTTGTAAAATAGTACTGCAACATGGTATTTAATATTTTATACTCTGCATTTAATTTCCTCACTTTTTAAAAAAAAAATATGGTCAGGGTGTATTTGAAGGGGTAATACTTTTTTAAACAGATACCTTTATTTAAATGTGTGGATATTCAGGAAATAAATGCGTTGTATGTACTAAAGTGGATAACCAAATATTGCATGTGCACAATACACTAATAAGAACTTGATTAAAATTATTTTTTTCAAAGTTAGTAAAGTATGCACATCACTTTGGAAGACAATATACACAAATTTCAGTTCTTAGAGAGAAAACTGAGTTTTGAGTTCATGTAAGGAGCTAGGGTCTGTACAATTAATGTGACCTTTTCTTGCTTAGCTAACTGGCAAAATAGTAAGGTCTCAAATAAGAGACCTTGTCATACCAACTTGAAATGTATTTCATATTATTTTCTCTCTGAATGTTATTAGATAACTATGCAATGTATTCTATTTCCTTTCATTCTTTAAGTGAAATTACCTTTTCTTCTAGACAATTATTGGAGACTTTCAGAAGGAACAAGATAAATTTGTTCAAGAAAAGCACACAAAAAAGTCAGGTATTTAATATTTATTATTAAATATAGCTAACATATTTCACTACATTTTGATGAAAGCTATATACCGTATTTTCCGGCGTATAAGGCTACTGGGCGTATAAGACGACCCCCTAATTTTTTAGTTAAAAGATAGGTTTTCGTCTTATACTCCAGCGCCCCTCCGCCTCCCCGGCTTTGCTCCCGGTGTCCCTGGTCTGCTGGAGACGGTCCCCAGCAAACCAGAGGCACCGGGAGCAAAGCGGCAGGGGCGCGGCGGGGCCGCGCCTCCCCGGCTTTGCCACAGCAAAGCCCCAGAGGTGCGGGACCCCTCCGCCTCCACGGCTTTGCTCCGGGTGTCCCTGGGCTGCTGGAGACGGTCCCCAGCAGAACAG